CAGTAGCTCCGTATCATTTATCTTATTCAGGAAATTATATTTATTTTTTTCAAATAATACTTAAATTAATTATTTTTTTTTATCTTTTAGGGTAATTGTTTTTTCTCTATTTTTATTATAACTAGATAACGTAACTTCGACTTTATAGAAATATAAATAAATAAGTAAAAGGATATAAATAAAAGAATGCTTTACTTATAAATTTTCTTATTCAATACAAACTGGTTTGAGATAAAAACTGTGGATAATCAAGTAAGTAATTTTCCAGCTCTTATTGTGAATATGTATGATCCATAATTAACTCCTTGAATAATAGTCATAAAGTATAATAAAGTATAAAATAGTCAGTATATAAAGAATGACATCAGAGACAATTAGCTAAGGACTTCGTAGAAAATTTATATCCCGGAACTTAAGGAAATCTTAAAGCTGTCCTGTATTACCGACTAAATCATATAATTTTTATATAACAAATACATTTCTCTTTCATGTATTCGAAAAATCCTTTAACAGGATTAAAATACACGCATTATTACATTTGTGAGGTGGATTTTATGCCGAGAACCACTAAAAATTTCGAAATTGATATATTTTTTATCATTTCTTAATGCAATATGGCGTCTTAAGCTGTCAAGTCGTGACAATATTTGCTTGAAAACGAAAGTTTTGCAACCTTGTATCAAACACGTAGTTTGCACGAACAAATAATGTCGAGTTCTTAGAATTAGACTTAGGCTGATATTCATAGTCAGATCTTATATTTAAGACTATACGTCTTAAGTCACGAACCAATTACAGGGCCGCATTAGCGTCTTAAGACATTACTTAAGACGGTCTTGAAATAAGAATCGACTATGAATATTAGCCTTAGACGCTTTATCGTAATGAAGTTGTTATATGAAAATCAGGATTGGGTAGTAACTAATGAAAACGTTAAAAGTTAAAAAAAAAGTTAAAAGTTAATAACTTTTAACTTAACTTTATTAATTTTGTAAAGCCATTAACTTTAATTTTATTCAGTTAAAAAAAAACATTAATTTATTCAACCCTGACGAAAATTGACACGAACGTGCAACTGCGTTAATGAAAGTGGGGAACTGTGCGCACCCTGGTTTGATTTTCCAATATATGAAGACATCACCGTGGAAATTTTTACGCAGAAGGTCCTCTTAAAATATAACTACAAAAGATAATGTAAATACATTGTTAACCAGAGAAATATAAAAAAGTAAAATCACATCTCTTCTTATTATTTTAATATTCAGAAAATAAGGTGGTAAATCCATAGATAGTAAATATTTTAATTTGTTTGTTTAAACTTGCATATTTTATTAAAGTACATTATTATGTGTGTCTTTTGAGCTATTATTTATTAAATTTGGTTAGGAAGTGTAATTTCATATCGAGAAGGTCGCGACGAGCAACTATGGGCAAGCATTTTGAAATGCACAATTACCCATCTTTCATATATATATATATGATTAACACTAATTTTTTCGTTTCTTCTTTGCATTATTATTTTATTTTGCCAAAGTCTATTTATTATTATTATTATAGTTTTGTATTTTTTGTTTAATATATATTTAAAATATATTTAATATATTTAATATATTTATATTGCAATATAATAAATATATTTTCTGGTTTCTTTATCAACATTTCATAATTTATTCATTTTCTACGACTTTTGCTTTGCGCACAATTACTCGACGCGAGAATTTTTTCGTCTTTCCGTTTTTTCTTTTTTCTCAAATACAATCTTATTGAATGAAAATCTGTTCAATATGAGGATACGTACATAAATAAACCATTATGTAATGCTAGAAGAATGTTTATAATTTTTATTTTCATACTTATATCAATTTGAACTTAGAAAATCATTTCACAACAATAAATTTTCCTTAAGTGCGCACAATTCACCCACTTTTCTCTATCATTATATGAGATATTGGTATAATAATCGGATATATAAAGACATTTAATGTCATCGATTTATATAATTTGTCTTTACATGCTTACTCCAAAAATCACATTTTTTGTTTTTCAGACAAAATCGTTATAAAATGAAGCCATTACCCTTCTTTTCAGAATTGGTAACATCACGCTAAATATTTACTTACAAGACATAAAAAAATACTAAGTTGATGAATTCGACGCTAAAATAATTTAACGATGTGTCCAGCAAGTATTGTACTTTGTTTAACATTTCTACTTGTTGCTTCGTTTTCGAAACCTCAGAATGATTTTACGAATGGCAATGAGCAGAGTGACAACTCGACGGTGCAATCTGATCCTCTCCTAAATTCTATAAAATATCGAAATGAAGAGATGAAATTAACAAGATGCAATTTACATAAAAATTCTATTAAGAATAATGATGAAATGCAATATGAATCCTGTATTAATTCTACAAAGAACAATTGCAAGAATGACTCGGTGCGATGCGAGTCTCGTGAACATATAATAAAAAATCTAGAAGATAATAATCAGACATCTACGAAGTTCTATATAAATTCGACAGAGATCAATAATTTCACATTACAAGAAATTAAAGAAAATTTCACCAAAATTGAAGACAAGAATAATTCCATATTGTACAAACTCAATTCCAATAGAATAATTAAAACTACTTTTGTTGAATACAGAGCATGCGATGATAGTATTACTTGTATTCAGTTCTGTTGTCCTTTTGGTAACATCTTGACGATAAAGGGACATTGCATCTCTCGTGGAGAGGATAATTACGCTCTTCCAAATATATACGGGAACAATTCCGAGGATGAAACGGTCGACGAACTATTTTTGACTGTTCGCGATCCGTGCATTGCAAAAGGATATGATCGCGAATTTCTTTTTCCTAATACATACTTGTTTCTCACCAATGGCTCTTTGTACAATAATCATAATGGCGAACACATTTCACCAAAGTCTTATTGTTTTGCTATTATGTTTCGGGACACATATGATGTGTTTGTTTGTGAAAATCGGACTACACTTCCAGTATTTATATCCATGTGCCTACTATTGTCTTTGCCGTTTCTGCTGTTGACGTTCATAATATATTCCATATTGCCAGAATTCCAAAATATCCATGGTTATACATTGCGTGCACACGTGGGTTCATTATTCATCACATACGCGATTATGTGTTTTGGCCAAGTTTTTGGATTAAGTGAAGTGAAATATTGCGTTGTACTAGGTACAGTATACTATATCGTCCCATTAATTAAAAATAACACAATTAAACAAATTAAATTTCAGTAAAGGCGAAAATTTTCCAACTTGACAGAAAAATATTGATTAATAAATAATATAATGCAATCAAGTAATAATAAGCTCCTTTAAGAATATATCTTAAAAACATCAACATGATCAAATGTTATTTTTGTCATTTTTATTTCACGACAAAGCTACATCTTTTTTAAGTTATGATGATTTTAATGTCCTTATAAAATTATAACAAATCCAGAATAATTTGAAAAGTGACATAACTCAGAACATTACTAAACAGTTTTTATATTTACCAGCTCTAAATGACTCACAATCAGCTCTAAAAATGACTGAATTCAAGATAAATCAATTTCTTTAAACTTTAATCTTTGATCATCAAAACTGTCTTGACTCTAAATATTTTTTTGAAAATGATTCTCCTTTTATTTACAAAAATACAACTAAAAATATGTCACTCTTTTAAAAGCTGATTATAATTTCTTTGAAAACCTTAAGAGAGACACAAGTGCTGTTTGGCGAACAACTTGTTAAGTTAGTTTACTTTTGATAATTAATAGAATAATCTTTAACTTATTTGTGATAATAACTCGATAAACAACATTTTTTAAGTTATGTTACTTTTGAAGTAAGCCTGGAATGATACAGTAATGCAATAATGTGTTGCTTATATGTATCTATATATAAAATAGTTTCAATATAATATGTCTATCTTTTGAATAATTTAATAAAATGGGAATTATTAAATTTTTAAAAGAAAAAATAATATAAAACAATATTTAAAAGAACAAATAATATATAATAATATTTAACAGATATTTAAATCTTGAATTATATCTTATGTATATAATAACTCACATTTCTGCATGTAGATAATTTTCTGGTTTAAATAAAAAAATTATACAGTAAAGCATTTAATTTGATCAAATTCACTTTTTTTTACTTTGCAATGCTGCAGACATGCAGATCAAGAAAATGCCACAAATAAATATAGTAATAATTATAAATTATAAATAATTGTCATTCTAATATATAATTGATGATTAACACATTATTTAATTTCATCTTTTCAGCATATATCTTCAACTTCTTCTTTTTGTCAAGTTTTTTTTGGTTAAATGTAATATGCTTCGATATTTGGTGGAAATTTAGGTGAGCAATATATTTCTTATAATATACGCATAGTGGAAGTACAAGTAATAAGGTGTGCTCATAATTAATTCAATTAATTTAATTAAATTAATTTTAAACTTTTTTTAAATAAAACTTAATGTTTAAACTGATAGTTGCCACCCAAGCAGTCCCATCCACAACATCGATAATGTCAAAATGACATTAAAATGAATCGAAAATGATTGAAAAATGACTTTTAATGATCATTTTTGAGTCATTTTAATATCACAATGGTTTGTTATTTTGCTTGGACATGTGAGCATGCTCGTTATATATATATATGAGATTTGAATCAATTGAACTGTACGTCGCTCTCAATGAGCACCTTTCTACTTCCATCATGATTATACGCAAGTAACATTATACAACGTACAGTATTCACCAGAGCATGGAAAGTTACTTTTTAAAAATAATAAGTTACTCGTTATTTAGAAAAAGTAACAGTTATTATTACTAATACTGATTATTACTAATACTGATTTTTAAAAGTAACTCGTTACAGTTACCGTTACAGTAATTTAAAAAAAAACTTTTCATTACCTTTTCATTACTTTTTTTTTAAAATCGATCACCAATCATAGCGAATGAGTGTTTAGGTCTTACTGAAAAAAATCATATCACAATGTTACATAATTTCATCAAGCAATCGACGTAATTTTTTTTCAATAGGGAGAGCTTCCTAGTCTCGCACTATGAGCGGCTTGTGTTCAATTGAATCATGTCCAATCGTGTACAAAGTAAAAATAACTGTAAAATTCGTTACGCACTAAAAAAATGTAACTACAATTATAAAAAAAAAAAGTAACGCAGTTACCAGTAAAGTTACTAAAAAAATAATTTGTAAATATAACTTTACTACAAGTAATGAATTAGTTCCATTCCCTGGTATTTCATCATTGAAATGCAAAACATTGATTTTAATGATTTTTATGTTTCTTAAACTTTTAACGCTTCGAAACAAATATTCAAATTGTTAAAATAGAAAACTTTATAAAAAAACTTTTTATTTTTACGATAAAATATATGTGTAGTTATGTGTAGTTAATTAGTACATATACTAAAAATATTTATATTATACATATATACTAGTATATGTGTTGAGTTATAAGTTTTTATGATTATTACGTCACAAAGTTTTAATATCAAAGAGATAAGATATTTTCGCATATTATATATTGGATAATAATTTAATTACTATTGACTAAACATAAATCGCATTTTACAGAGATCTCCGTCCGCTCCGTCGATATCGAACAAAAACAAAGCATAAAAAGAAACTTATAGTATATTCGATCTATGCATGGGGAGTCACTATTATTCTTAACGTTATCTGCGCCATTATGGATAATATTTCCCTACCAGAAAATTTGATCCGACCAGAAATTTGCGAAAAAAGATTTTGGTTCGGTGGTAAGTGATACCGGCAATTATTAACGCTAGCGGAAAATTAATATTTAATTGAAATCTTGATAAATTTCAACAATTTTTAATTTAAATAATGGACACATCATTCACATATATTAGTGTAGTATAATACAAAGAATTTGTTTTCTGTTTCAGAAAATGAAGCAAAAACATTATATTTTTACGTACCCATAAGTGTTACTATTATCAGTAATATTTTTTTTTTCATCCGCACAACACTAACAATTCTGTATCAGAAAATACATATAGCTAATCTGTTAAGAGATTGTGAGATCATGCGCCACGATGAAAATAAGCAATGGTAAAAAATGCGAAGGCTACTTTAAAGTATTGTAACTTTGCGAAAAAGAGTTGTAGCAACTCGTTTTTTTTTTTTAATTAAAGAAGAAAGTTCGAATTTTATATAAACAACATTTCCAAAAAAAATTTTACAAAGTCCATGCATTCCGTCAAATTTTGCAATTTTCAGTATGACAAACACATTCTCACATTTTGCAAGTTACAGTGATAGAGATATATTAAATTTAAAATCTGGTCATAGCGTTTTAAATTTCAGATTTCAGCTTTAATTAAAAAAAAACCGTTATCCTACGATAATCTTTCGCAAAATTATCGTCAATCAAAATTGATCAATTTTTACATAAAACTTTTTTAAGTCATAATTTTTTTTAGCAGTATATATTTTATTGATTTATCTTATAGCAATTATTGTAGTTATAATATTTACAAAAATATATTTGCTCACAGGTTTAATATGTACCTGAAGCTGTTCATAGTGATGGGAATAACTTGGGTTTTGGAGATAATGTCGTGGATCGATATTGGTGCTGATATTGTACCACAGTTTATCTGGTATCCCGCCGACATCGTAAATGCCTTGCAAGGTCTCACCATTTTCATCATATTTGTGTGTAGAAAAAAGACCCTGCAAACATTATTAAAACAACTTGACTGGCAGATTTGCGATCCATTTAAGATTCGAACAAGGTGTATAGTTGTCTCGAATACTACTACATCCACTAGGAGGTCCGGAACAATGCCCATGCAACAAATCGGTCACTCTAATTAACAGCTAATCATCTTGCAAAGTTCAATTAGTCCTACTCATAAATGTTGCAATGCAAAGAGAAAATTCTATTATAGAGAGTTAAAAGTTAATTAACAGCATAATTTAATTCTTCAGTCGAAGATCTTATGTATGTATATGCTATTTCAGATTATATTGTTTTACATTGTTTTTAGTCACTTTAGAAAAGAGGTATTTGATATTATACAATCTGTTAAAATATTAAACAATATAATTTTTGTAAACAGAAAATTCGAAAGAAGGTGATTCATTCCAAGGATAGAAAGAAGCCGCTTTGAAACATTGGATCAAATAAAGATAATTACAATGAAATAACATTCTAAATTATTTGTAGATTAAACAAATCTTATAAATCACATGTTAAACATAGCTCATCAGAAATATGACCAATACAATTCAAATAATAAGTAAGATATGTTGTCACTCAAATAAATATTAAAAGAGGAGACAAAGGCAATGTATAAATGTATAAAACAATTACAAAGAAATTACATAAATCAACTAAATAAAACTATTTTGTGTTTTTTATTATCTGTAGATAAGTGTGATGTACGTCTTCTGTATACGAACGCAAATTGAAACTGTTTTCTCGCATAAAGATAGGCATGAAGACATTCCGATATTAGTCGTTTATTAAGGAAACGTTCTTCATCAAGTACTGCGACATTCTCCCAGTCGAAATCATGTTCAAAATTAATTCTATGTTTTATAATCACCGAGTAAGTATTAGTATTTCGGTTTATAAGATTACGATGATCTGACACTCTATATAGTTTTAAGTTTCCTTCTTATCTGCCCGACATATGATGTATCACAGGATTTACACGAAATTTTGTAAACGATATTTCTTTTTTTCTCGTGGGAGGATGTATTTTTGTACCTTAATCAATCTGTCCAATTTATTTGTACAGAAAGCTTATTTAGTATTAAAAATATTGCTTATTCTTTTAAATTCATCAGAAATTGTAATATATAAGAAAGCACGAATCAAGAAGCGCAATCTTTATTAATTTTTTTCTTCTCTTTTGATTTGATCTATTGTTTCATTTATAAATTGAGAACTTGAAACGTATATTAATAGTATTAAAAATCAGATTGACAGGATAATCATTTTTTAATAATGTACTTGATATTTTTTTGATAACGTTTTAGATCTGATAACAAAAAAGCTCTATCAATCATGCTTATTATTATTCTTCTTTTTTATGAGAATGGATAAGAATATATATATTCAAGTTATTATTTTAGTATTGATATTTCATATTCAATAAATGCACATACAAACAAATATTCTTATATGAGATTCTATTAAATTTTTTTATAATAGAATCTGATGTTTATTATACGGTTATATAAGTATAATATGTGTATATATGTGTAATATAATGAGTGAACTTCCGAAAACGCCCAATAGTCTTAAATTTTGATAGAAATACTCTAAATAGTCTAAATAATGTAAAGTGAATGCCATTAAATGGATTTTCACCGACACAAATGCCAAAAATGTTTACACAAAATTATGATAATTGAACAAAGATTAAAGTTACTTTGAAATAGAATTTTTATGATCAACAAGCATATAATGATAAACTATGACGAAATAAGACTACATTCTCATAGATATATGTTGGAGAGCGCACTGTTTATTAAGTAATATAGCGTCGCAAACTAATTTTATAATTTTCTGAAGGCTTTCAAATCTTGTCAGTATCTTTTTTCGTTATTACTATGTGTGTATTACTATACAGGGTGAATCAAAGTCGTTGAACCAACTTTTTACCCTATGAGAAAATTATCGATTTCATATCTGTTGGATTATAACGTGCGTCAATAATTTTCTCATAGAGGAAAAAGCTAGTTGAACAACTTTGGTTCACCCTGTATACAGGCGTAGATTCGATTGCTTTTTTTAATACCGTCAATGGCAGCAACAATTCGTTCAGTAGTGTTTTGTTACGTGCCTGAATATATTGCGCTATCGTTTGCCGGGAAGTGAATCGCGGAAGTGAAATTGGACATAGCGTTATATTTATCATCCTATCCATCTTCATATATTATATACTCGAAAACAATCATAATCGTTATAAATGGTTATAAATATATTTATAATTTTGATTTTAATATTTGTTGGAAAGGTGTACGATATATAAGATAACGATAATTTTTTCTTCCTTATATCCTCAATAAAAACCCGGGAAAAAATGTTTTATATAAAATTATATAAAGTTATATATATTTATTCTATATAATTTTATATAACTATAAAACATTTTTTCTCGAGTTATCATTGTGTGTAAAATTGTATTATTTTATTTTTGTTCACTCATAGATGA